GTCCCTGGTGGTTCAGATGTTATTCGTAAAAAGGAACTGGGAGGATTTTCTACTGCTTTGACAGAAGTGGGTATTTCGGGATATCATGAAAAAAAATATGTAAATCATTTGGAATACCGTTCAGTTAATTTTCATTATCTCAACTTTTTTTTCCAAGTAATCTTAATGATTGTGTTTTAACCTTGATATCCTGAATCTTCAGATATCTCTAAGTTTCTAGCTCTACTGGTCAGAGACCAGAAGAGCTTATGCGATAGTAATGCATCCGGCGTCCATCCATCTGTCTGTCTGTCCATCTGTCTATAAACAATTTTTCAAAACGCTACTCCTACAATTTTAGTCTGATTTCAATATAACTTGGCACACAAGTAGACTACGCTAAGATACATAGAATAGTGCATCGGTTTTTAATTTCGATGAACGTTGTTGCCATGGTTACTAAAAATAGAATTTTCTGTGAAATTCCTTTAAATGTTACTTCTTCTACAGGTTTAGTTTGATTTCAAAATAAATTGGCACACAAGTAGACTACACAAAGATACATAAAATAGTGCAATGGTTTTTGATAAGTACAAACCAGTAGAGCTACAGTCTTGACAGAGACTTCTGGTTCCTCTGTCTAATTGAAGATATTAACAAGGTTTGACTGTACTTGCATGTCTTCCAAAGTACAGGAATTACATAGTTATTGGCCAGTTTGCATACTTTTTACATGCATTAAGAATGTAAATTTCTCTGTAACAGATTCTGAACCCTTCTGGAATTCCTCTGTATTTCACCGTACACGTGGCCAATGAAGCGGGTGTGAGTGTACCAGCCACCTGTCAGTTGGAGACTTTTGACATGACCATTCCAGGAGGGAGAATGTCAGAAGCCTTCAGATCGACCAGTAACCCCCAGGTGATGAAGGGACTGGTCACTGTGTATGAGGACTCCCCCATAACCCAGGTTCTGGTGGCTGTGGGGTACGGCAGGGACATCTGGGGAGAGCAGATTGTCAGGTGGAATCAAACCAGCATTGCAGCAAATACGGTCAACTATGATGTGGGTCAGTATTATTATGGATATACTGTAAACGTATTACATTTAGCGGTGTATTCTATTTAGTGATTTTGGAGGAAAGCAGAGTTCGCTAATTCAAGAACATCGCTAAGTGTCTTGTTAACTTTCATAATTAGCAAATTTAGACAGCGCTAAATCAAATCTACGCTAACTTGTTGAAAATTGAATCTCCGCCAAATATCGTACACTCCAAATGTAATACATTTACAGTATTAAGGACCCTTTAAGAATTCGCTGGTGTTTTAAGCTAAGAGTATTCACTCATCTGTTCATCAGTCTCTATATCCACAGTTTATTTTTCTATGTTATTTTTTACATGATAATTGTATACTCGACCTTTAATTGTGAAGTTATGTTAGAGCATGTAGTATTTTATAAACATGGCTAAATTCTATATTGTATATTTGCAATATTTTACATACACTCGTTTATTATTAAACTTCTATTAAAATGATACTTTACAGGTGATGACCCATTGAATGAGAAGGTCATGAGTGTTTTCTCCACTGGTAAATCTGGTCGTCTGACAGGTAGAGGAGTTTTATATCAACAGTATGATAAGATATCTACCCCAGGACAGTGTGCAGCATACTGCAATCACCTGCATGCAACAAAGTGCCTTAGCTTCAATTACGACTTTGGTAGTGGTCACTGTGAGCTGCTGGAAGCCATAGAAGGGCATGATTTCAAATTATCCAAGGTAAAAAATAGTTTTGTAAGTGTAAATCTAATTTCGTTTTCTATCATATATTAGTTAAAGAATTTATTTTACAAGTTTATTAAATACAGTTGAGATTTTGTATTTCTCATTTAGGATGGACTTTACACACATTATGAAAAACTTGGAGTTGGATCAAACAGACAGTTTGAATTCAACAATTTAAAGCTGCCACATAATAAGATTTTCTACTTCAATGTCAAAGTAAAAAATGCACTAGGGTTTCAGAATATTTTGTCATCAAGATCAATCATCACTGATTTTACACCCCCTGATCCTACTATATGTAAGTACAAATACATGTATCTTCTTAAATATTCAGTGATACACTCTAGAGTCCTTTCTAAATTAGAGATTTTGTCTCTGTAGTTTTACAGAGCGTACAGCATGTTTCATTCATTCCTTTTTGTAATAGACCAGATAAACATGACGAGTGATGTGTTAGAGGTGTCCCCTTGTCTGGACCTCATTCCTAATGACAGACAAGACTGGGAGAGACACTGTGTTGGGGTAGATCCCTCCAGAAGGAACCACCGCATCGTCATAGACGGAGAGGGATCAGACACTGTATACAATGGACATGAGTTCAAGACTGACCTGAAGTACACCAGGGCCAACCGATACATATCCGGTAAATCTGTCACAAAACTTAAAGACTTGTGATTCATACATTTTAAGGAGTGAGCAGTATTGGTGAACAATCTATTAAGCATGTCATAGAAGCTAAGTAGAATGACATAGTGAGTAGCATGATGGAGAAAAACATTTATTATCATGCTTAACAGCATATTTTGGCTGCCTTTTATGGTTTGTAATAATAAACTGACAAGAAATTTTGTAATTTACATTTGTTAATCTTTTTTTCCAGCTAACTGGGATGGTATTTATGACAATGAGACAGGATTGCTTGGTTACTCTGTGACAGCTGGAGAGAAAATTTGTGAAGAGAAAATCAAGGCCCACCACGATCCTCATGCTCATCTGTTTGATGAATCCCAGTGGACAAACAGTGTGATGATGACTCCATTGGAAGCTCCTTACACCATTCTACCAGGTCACTTTTATTTAATTTTTTAGCTCACCTGAGCCGAAGGCTCAAGTGAGCTTTTCTGATCACATTTTGTCCGTCGTACGTCTGTCTGTCTGTCTGTAAACTTTTTACATTTTCGACTTCTTCTCAAGAACCACTGGGCCAATTTTGACCAAACTTGGTACAAAGCATCTTTGGGTGAAGGGGAATTTAAATTGTTAAAGTAAAGGGCCAAGTCCCTTCACAAGGGGAGATAATCAAGAAAAGACCAAAATAGGGTGGGGTCATTAAAAAATCTTCTTCTCAAGAACCACTGGGCCAGAAAAGCTGAAACTTATGTGGAAGCATCCTGGGTTAGTGTAGATTCTAAATTGTTCAAATCATGACCCCCGAGGGAAGGGCGGGGCCACAATGGGGAATCAACGTTTTACATAGAAATATATGGGAAAAATCTTTGAAAATCTTCTTCTCAAGAACCACTGGGCCAGAAAAGCTGAAACTTATGTGGAAGCATCCTAGGGTAGTGTAGATTCTAAATTGTTCAAATCATGACCCCCGGGGGAAGGGTGGGGCCACAATGGGGAATCAAAGTTTTACATAGAAATATATAGAAAAAATCTTTGAAAATCTTCTTCTCAAGAACCACTGGGCCAGAAAAGCTTAAACTTACATGCACATGGACGGATCCTGAGGTAGTGTAGATTTCAAAATGTCTAAATTATGATCAGTGGGGTAGGATGGGGATGCATTATGTATTACAAGGGGGAAATCTGGTAATGAACAGAATGGTCAAAGCTTCTCAGGTGAGCGATATGGCCCATGGGCCTCTTGTTTTAATTTTGCAAAAGATCACTCTATCTATGACAATTTTATGTTTGAATAAAAGAGAGAAAAGGTTCAGCTGGAAAAAAGAATTGCTGCAAACTGATTTTAAACCTAATAGTCATAAAAAGTAGGCATAACTAGAAACGATCTCGTTGCGAGCAACGAGAGGTCTTCCGTCCGATTGTGGAAAAAAAACTCGTAAAGTCGAGCTGAGAAGTAAACAAAAATTTTGGTCACAAATTAAAACCAGGTCGCCAGCGTGAAAATCCAATCCGCTTTTTTCCCCTTTTATCCCCAACGCGCTAACCATTACCCTATTGGGAGTACTGCTCTAAATGTACTTGTGTATACTTTTGCTACAGTACACCTGTCTAAGAATTATAAAAGACGGGCCATTATTTATAATTTTGCGCCAAACGCCACGTTAAATCTTCGCGCCTTTTCATTGGACTGATCTATTAAATAGGTGTGATAGCTTCAATGAAATTAAGAAAAAAGAACGTTCTCATAGCCTACATTTCGAGGTTTAGAAAATATATTTAACACATTGTACACATTCTATAGAAAAGTAACACAAAAGCAGTGAAATGACTATAATTTAATTTTTTATTTCCCGTCTCAGAAGTGAACTATGCCGATTAGTTACACTTTCATAAAAAGGTTGAAATGTTTTGCCGAAAAAGATGCCTTGCTCTACGACAGTCAAGAAATCAGATACCATTTATGTTCAATAACTTGATTCAGATCTTTGAGAAAATCTTTTTCTACTTAGAGAACCAACCAAAACCAGTTACAGAAGACGTTTGAGAAGACCCTGGAATAAATCTTTAGTTTGACACAGAATTGCAACGTAATTACTACGTGATCTATTAACGTGCAAACCATTAAGCTTTTGGGAGCACTGCTCTAAATATACTTGTGTATACATTTGCAACAATACACCTGTCTAGGAATTATAAAAGGCGGGCCGCTATTGATAATTTCGCGCCAAACGCCAGGTGCAAATATTCTATTAAATAGGTGTGATAGCTTCAATGAAATAAAATAAATAAAACGTTCTTATCGCCTTTATTTTATTTCGACGTTAAGAAGGTATATTTAACACATTGTACACATTACATATCGTATCTAGCCCAGTTAAACTAAAGCAGTGAAATTAAGTTTTAAGATTGACACGTAATAACAATGTACTACTACGTGAAAGTCCAAGTAATTTTTTTACATTTCATGTATCTTTATGTCAGAATGGTTTAATCAAATGCTCAGCTGCCTCCATAAACCCCCACTCGCGAAATGGCGGAGTTGACAGTGGCAGACGCCATCTTGGACGCGCTTCAGATTTTCAAATATTAATATCTAGGATTCAGATTAACCAATATTCAAACAACTTATATAGTAAGCATCAATAGAAGGGTCTCTGTTAATATTCCAAAAATAAATAAAAAATATTGAAAAACAAAAAAGTTAGAAAATACAATTTTTTTTATTCGTTTCTCTTAACGAGCGGAAGTACCGACGACGAACGAAAGGTCGCGTCCTGGATAGTATATATCACGATCTATAATCCCTGAAAGTTTCATGTTGATATCTTTTACCGTTTTTGAGTTTAATCGTGGACAAAATGTCATTTTAATTTCAGGAAATGTCCCGTAACTTGGCACCAGATAGGAATTTTCAAAAAATCGCTCAGATAGATCAAGTTCATGTTACGACACATCTTTTCTGAAAATTTCATATAATTCCATCCAGTAGTCTTCGAGAAATCGCGTGCACAAAATTAGAAAGTCAAAAAAAAATAAAATAATAATAATAATAAGAAACTAGATACGATCTCGTTGCGAGCAACGAGAGGTCTTCCGTGCGATTCAGGAAAAAAAAAACTTGTAAAATCGAGCTGAAAAGTGATTCAAAATTTTGATCACAAGGAGGAATGAATCCAGGTCGCCAACTTGAATGCGCCTTTTTTTCTCTTTTATCCCCAACGCGCGAACCATTTAGCTAGTGGGAATACTGCTTTAAATATACTTGTGTATACTTTTGGAACAGTACACCTGTCTAAGAATCATAAAAGGCGGGCCACTATTCATAATGTCGTGTCAAAAGCCACGCGTAAATATTCCCACCTTTTCTTTGTACTGATCTATTAAAGAGGTGCAATAGCTTCAATGAAATTAAGTAAATAAAACATTCTTATCACCTTTACTTTATTTCGGCGTTAGAAAAGTATATTTAACACATTGTACACATTACATATCGTATTTAGCCCAGTAACACTAAAGCAGTGAAACGGAAATCAAGTTTTTTAAGATTGACACTGAATTGCAACGTACTACTACGTGAGAGTCCAAGTAGTTTTTTGCATTTCATGTATCCTTATGTCAGAATGGTTTAATCAAACGCTCAGCTGCCTCCATAAGCCCCTACTCGCGAAATGGCGGAGTTGACAGAGACAGCCGCCATCTTGGGCCCGCTTCAGATTTTCAAATATTAATATCTAGAGTTCAGACTAATCAATATGAAAACAACTTATATAGTAAGCATCAATAGAAGTGTCTCTATTAATATTCCAAAAATAAATGAAAAATATTGAAAAACAAAGAAAGTTGAAAAATTGGACTTTTTGAAATGGCTTCCGGTAGCGACAGGAAGTACTGACGACGAACGAAAAGTTGCGTCACAAAGTATTGATCATCATCTATAAACTCTGAAAGTTTCACATTGATATCTTTTACCTTTTTTGAGTTTAATCGTGGACAAAATGTCATTTTAAAATCAGGAAAATGGTCCAAAACTTGGCACCAGAGAGGAATTTCCAAAACCTATCTTGGAACTTTCAAGAGTATCTTACAACATATCTTTCCTGAAAATTTCATGTAATTCTATCCAGTAGTTTTCGAGAAATCGTGTCAGAAAAATAATAATAATAATAATAATAAGAAACAGTACAATAACTATAAGGTCTTCCGTTAAGACGGAAGACCTTAAATATTAATTTTAAATGTTTATCAGATTATCTGTCTGTGTTCTAATTCATGTCTTTACATTCATTTGATTAACTGAATTTTAGATGGGCCATATTTCATCACTGTTAGAGCTATCAACAAAGTGGAATATGGAGGTCCTCTGGCCACCAGTTTTTGTCACTCCACTCCATACATAGTGGATAACACTCCTCCATTTGTGTATGAAATCTATAACATAAAATATGAGGAGGACCAGTTCAATCTGAGCATGTCACACAATTCATCGTAAGTAACATGTACATCTGTATTTATATATTTATTATAGTCACTACAGGGGACTTGCATTAAAAGCAGTACCTGAGGATCAGATTTTCCTTTATTTCAGAGATCCAGACTCTGGTCTTATTAGAAATGATCTTTGTCTGGGAAGAACTAGAAGAGATTGTGATGAAATGATGTGGACCACCATAGATTTCAATCCAAACATCACCATGTTGAAGAAGCTGACAGAGGGAGTTCCTGTATGGATTAAAATCAAAGCTGTCAACAATGGTACATCAGTGTTTTGTTTGACTGAATAAATTGATAACAATTGGTGATTGCAAATGATTATATGATACCAAAAATCGCCAATTGCAGCTAATGAACAAAGTGGCAAATCTTGGAGATTGATACAAATTTTGATTAAAATGACAAATCTGAGTAACTGTAACATGACTCTTCTTAAAATTCTTGTTTAATTGATATATTCTTTATAACTACAGTTGACCTGAGGACAATAGGTGTGTCTGATTCTGCCATCATAGTGGACCGATCTCCTCCTATTGCTGGTACAGTGAATGATGGAGAGGTTTATAAAGTAGATCTACAGTATACCATGTACCCAGATAAGGTAATTAAAGTCTATAAAATAAGATGACTAATAAGGGGTATATCAAAAAGTTTGGTTTTACTTTAACTATTAATGACTTGATAAGAATTGAAATACAGTTAAACGCTGTTATCTCAAACACTGATATCTCAAATACCATGGATATGTGGATGTGATTTGAAAGTTCCATACACATAATTATGTTTTAAGTATACCTTTAATATCAAGTATACCCTTAATATCTGGAATTCTACGATGTATCAATATTTTTTTTGGCACCATAGATTTGAAGATAACAAGGTTTGCCTATAATTCTTAAACCATCTTTTTTTTTTTAGATTTGCAGTAACTGGCTGGGCTTCTATGACCCACAGTCTGGAATAGCTATGTATATGATCAGTGTGGGATCTTCCCCAAACTCAACAGATGTAGCTAACCTGACTCAGTTCTCCAGTAAAACTCACTACGCTTGTGTGGAGCTCGAGCCAGGCAAATACTTGGAGCATAATCGACAATACTTCTCTAAAGTGTATGCATTCAATGGTGGTCACAGACAGCTCAATGTCTCCATGGTCTCAGATGGAGGTAGGTTCTCCTAGGAGTACAATTAATTAACCCCATGTAACGGTTGAATGGATAAAGTGGCTTTTGGAACATAGATACATGTATTGTAGTACAAAACAATTTCTTTAAGAGTATATTCTGACAATTTTCATTACCAGACATTCCAATTAGTTTTTGTATTGTTATACAGTGTTGGTAGACCTGACTGAGCCGGTAGCTGGAGAAGTGGTGGACGGGTCAGCTGAGGATTTTACTGACCTACAGTTTACAACAAGCCAGGCTAAAGTGGAACTTCAATGGAGAAATTACTTGGATCCAGAGTCCAACATCAGTCACTATGATGTCAAGGTTTACAGGGCCAAGTAAGTTCACATCATCTGGTCATTTTGCCTCGTCATTAATTATCAGTCAATCAGAACTTTGTTTCAGTAAGTAAGCATTTTATGAAATAAAACTTTACTTATATTTTATTTGAAATAAATTTGATTTTTTATTTTTCAGAAATATGACGTACGATTATGAACGTATCCATGACTGGGCCCCATTCCCCAGCACAGCTAACAGTGTGAAGTGGTTAAAGTTCCACCATAGTCATGGAGATAGAATTCAGACCTCTCTCCGCACCACAAACAAAGCTCTCAACTCCATTATCAACAACACTAACAGTTTTGTGGTTGACATAACACCCCCATATCTGCATTACCTTTGGGATGGTCTCCAATCTAAAGATCAAGAATTCCAAGTAGGTTTTATATCCAAATTTATGGTAAGGTTTTTTCATTCATAAATTTTGACGTCTGGAAATAAATCACTAATGCAGATTCTACAACTCGTCTAAAAATTGGATATAAAGTTTTAGACCAAAGTCCTGCTCCTAAAAAATCTTAGTCATGGGTAAATATATATGTTACTTACTTCCATGTTTGCAGTCAGCAGTAGACCAGCTTTCAGTCAGCTTTAAGTATTCTGACAAAGAATCGGGTGTAGATCACATCAAAGTACAGATCTTTGAGGTTTCTGGTGGTACAAGATCACAAAGATTGACTGGGAACCAAATACCCAGGTTTGTTTTTATATATATTTTGAAAGCAAGAAATTTTAGACTGATAAAGACACGCAACATTATTTTCTTCTTCAGTTTTCCTTTCATGTCCATAGCATTGGAATTTCAATTAAATGCTAAATTTTGAGAATGAAACCCGATTTGCAAAATTAATTGTAATAAGGTGTAAATCTTTCAAGTCTTGTGACATTCAGTTCTGCTGAAACATGTATAAAACACTGATTTGATAGTGTAATTACCATGTTATAATCCTTTTTTCAGCTATGAAAAATGACTGGAAAAATATAAGTGATGCATCACTAACTAGCCACACATGGTCAGGACTGTCTCTGAAGGAGGGTGCTAGGTACAGCCTGAGGGTGGGGGCTGTTAATCATGCTGGCTTCCTTGCCGCATTTGAAACCAATGGAGTCATCATTGACACATCTCCTCCTATGGTAATATTACTCAAGTATTCTTACATATACTTTTAACACTAATATTTTATGAAATCTGATCTGAGATTGACTTCAATGTAATCTTTGTTAGGTGATGTGGTTAAGAGTTGGAGTGACCGGGAGCTCCAAAGAACACAGAGTGGATGGATATGTCTGGGTGTCGGATAAGAAGGGTATCCAGGCCTCTTGGCTCTGTAGGGATCATGAATCAGGTGTAACAGAGTATTTGGTGGCTGTAGGCACATCTCAAGGTATTACTTTGAAATACTTCATAAGTTATCACATTGTCCAAATTTTTCTTTGATAAATATGATGTCTCATTAAATCTGGATGCTTCAACATCTAGAGAACAATTTTGGTGAACAGAAATTGTATGTATCAGAGATGAAAAATATGGGTTGGGAATTGGATTAAATGGACAATCATAATGATAATAAGTACTGTTTGCTCAAGAATTAAAAAGCTGGAATTATTGGAAATCAACTGTACTTGTGCTTTCGGTGTTCACAACATTCCAGTTAAGTACTACTGGTACCTTGTATATCAGGAAAATATTAAGATTAAAATCTTAGATAAAAATGAAATACAGAAAATGTGATCGTCTTTACTACTTAGGAGGTGATGATGTTTTGGCTTGGAGATCTTTTGGAACAGAGAGCAGTCAGTACATAACAGGATTTACTTTAGAAGTCACAAATCAGACAACTAAATCTCCCATTTATTATGTGTCACTGAAAGCTAAGAATGGAGCAGGCCTGGTCAGTCCACTGGCCACTGTGTCCACTCCTATCATGGTCATGGAGGAGGACAAAGCTGGTAAATGTCTGCTTGATGTTTGAATGCTCAGAGAATTTTATTTTGTTTTTGCCAAATTATTGATATTTTTTGAAAGTTTACAGATTACTGTATATGACATTTTTTTTTAATATCAATATTCTATTAACTAAAGGTTTGGTTGTTGATGGTGCTGACAACATTGATAAGATTGTTGGTGAGGATGCCGTCGTTGACTTCACATCAGACATGGATTATCAACTGGACACCACCACTGTTACTGTCCAGTTTACTGGATTTGAGAGCACCATGCACGGAGTGATGCAGTTTGAGATGGCTGTGGGTACTGAACTAAATGGAGAGGACATTCTGGCCTTCACAGAGGCAAATATCATCCATCTGGAGGAACTGGATCCTGTTGGAAAAGGTAAGCATGCATTAAAATATTAGAAGAATATGAGGGTCCTTTATAATATGCTATAACTGGACTGATTTAAAATTTGTTAATTCTTTTAATAATGAGATTTTTTTCTAGGATTAACAAGTTCTGGATATGCCCAGATTAACATACCTCTAAAACCTGAGAGAACATACTACACCACAGTCCGAGGAATAACAAATAATGGAAATGTACTACAAACAAGTTCTGATGGATTTACTGTGGACCAGACCTCTCCTACTATTGACATAGATAGGTAAACCAATGGATCCTACCATAGTCTTTGTGTATTTTAACCATTCCTGTACATGCTATGCTACCCCTGAAATAATGAGACATGTCAGTATTGAGACCTTCTTTGTAGGCTGTCTGGGAAGTCAGCTCAGGAAATGGACATTTCAGATGACAGTCAGGTTTATGAATCAACAGATGATGCCCTGTCAGCCATGTGGCATTACAATGACTCGGAGTCTGAAGTAGTGAGAGCTTGGTATGCTGTGGGAACTTACCCATTCTCTGATGATCTCAGTGAGAGAAAGGAGGTGGAGATATCAATCACGTTGTCCAGCTATCTAGGAAACAATGAAGTGGAGCCAGATATTTTTGGTATGGTGATTTTAGTGAATTATTAGAGTGTTTAAAGTAAACTTATAATACAAGAATGCAAGAGATTGGTAATATTCCAATATGCTTTTCAGGAAAACCTAATATCATAAGTGTATGGGCAGAGAACTCTGTTGGACTGGTGACCCAGAAAGCTACAGGAACAATAGTAATAGATAAAACACCACCAAAGGCTGGCAATGTATCCTGTCCAGCTTACATTCAGGTAAATATTATACTGGTTAAATTGCTAATGATAATTATTTTGTTTTGCTTTTAAATATTCAGAAGTTCTTAAAGAACATTATTATATGTAATGGCAGCAATCAGTTCCCATTGTATGTTCTTGGACTGGGTTTGTGGACACAGAATCTCCCATAAAGGAATTCCACATCATAATGGGCACATCTAAGGGAGATGACTCAGTATTTTCTGAAGGAGTTGTCCCAGGCAATATCCAAACATTTATACTACAAGGTACCTTTATCTGAACATAATTAGTTCTGACTGTCTCTCAAAGGTGTTGACATACATTTCCCTAGTTTGAATTTTGATGACATGTGGAGAATTGTTTGATAGGTGCTGGGAAGAAGATGCACCATGGAGAGGAGTATTATGTGACAGTGACAGCCATTAACAGTGTGGATATGACCATCAATGCATTCTCCAATGCTGTGGGTTTGGACCTCACTCCGCCAAAGGCAGGCATGGTGGCTGACCTAAACTCAGTCTACCGCATAGATTCTTCTAGTACTGAAAACACTGTGGCCATGAATGCAAAGATTTGTCTAACCGAAGAAGGTCTGTATATAGCTGTCAACAATATATTCATGATTTTTTAAGTAAAAATTAATATTTCATTAGTTATCTCACCTGGCCCAGAGGTTCAAAGATTATGCACTCAGTCTGTTTAATATATGTTTGTATGTTCATATGTAAAATTAAAAAAAAAATTATTTTAAAAATTATTTTGGCCAAAGTCAAACTTATGTTAAAGTGAGGAATGATACAATTAGTAAAGTTGACTTTAAACCTATAAATTTACTTTTGAATTGAATAAATTTTAATTGGAGAACACTTAGTGATTTTATTTTCTACCTGTGCATATTAATTTATAATTTATCAGTATGAGAATGTAGACTTAGATGAGCAATGTAGCCCAAGGGCCTGTTGTTTTTATTTTTTTCAGAGTGCCGAGCCGTGGATGCTGTCTGTACCGAGTCTCTGACTTCTCTCTCTGTAACATGGATACCATTTACTGACCCAGAGTCCAGTATTGTGGAGTATGTCAATTTACTGTACCCCTTTAACCATATATAATGCATTGTGTTTTATTTACTTTTATCATTCTCGGTTCCTAGTTAATTGGGAAATGTTGATAGACAGGTACCAGATAGCTGTAGGTACCTCTCGGTTATTTCTATCATGGTCAGCTCCTATTTGATTATTAAATGCTGATTGACAGGTACCAGATAGCTGTAGGTACCTCTCCTGGAGGAGGTCAGATCAAAGCTTTCTACAGCATTCCAGCTGACAGTAAACACCACACAGTCACAGAACTCAACCTGGACGGATACAGACAGGTCTGTACTGAAGTCTTCTATGGAGTAGGTGTTATTATATTTAGTGTGTTTTATATATGCTTATTTTACACTATCGTTTACAGGTATTTGTGTCTGTCAAAGGAATCAATGGTGCTGGTTTATCAAGTGTTGCTACTTCAAATGGTGTCTACATGTCCTACCTCAGTCAAGGGAGACCACCCCTGTCACATATAGGAGTCATTGACATGGTCAATGGAGAGCATATTGATGTGTAAATATTTAGCATGCTATCAAATCTACTTTAATATTTATGAGAGGGATGGAATTGTGACCATTTATTTGTCCCCTGCTTTTCACAAAAGTATGTGGAGTGTTAAATGTTAAATCTCAATCTTTGAACCTCCAACCTATAAGGCAGGAAAGGGGAGGATCAGAGTTCTCTAAATTTTCTTGTTATCATGATTCATTTTCTGTATACAGAGACTATCAGACAGACCCCTCTACAATACAGGCCAGCTGGGATGTATCAGGGGACCCATGTCCTGTTGTGAAGTATGAGTGGGCAATCCGACGACTGGATGGACTGGAAATCTCCAGATATTTAGACATGGGAGGTTAGTCTCATAAGGAGAAATAGGATTTCTAAAGCAATTGACTTAATGTATAATCCAGTGTATTAAAAGATGATAACTGTCAAAAAAAAAAAAAAGGAACCTTTCAAAACAACTCATATTACATTTCTTGTTTCAACTTTTACAGTAAAAACATCTGGTTTAATTGATGGGCTTCAAATGAAGAATAAGGAGACATACATTAATTTGATCCGAGTCACAAATGCTATTGGATACAAGTATACATTACGATCAACTGGGGTAACTATTGAAAACACTCCACTTCTGCCTGGTAAGGTGTATGATGGAGATATTGATGGATATGACCTTAATTATTTACCCTCTAAAACAAGAGTATATGCCAACTGGAATGGATTTGGTCTGCCACCTAATGCCATTGTACAAGTGGATGTTGAGAGTGGTGAGTTTTAACCAGTCCAAGTTTTTTCAAAATATTTAAACACTGTATTCATGTATTTCTTCAAATCTTATTCAATTTTAATTCTTTGTGTGCATCTAGGTAATGAAGGTCTTCATGTAGACCAAAATGAAGTGGCAGCTCAGGATAGGAGTCAACAAGTGGCCTACTACTTGGTAGCCCTCGGTACAGACAGACGCTTTAATAAAACCAGGGACAATGTGGTACCCTACACTAATGTTGGAACAAATACTTCTATTACATTCTATGATCTAGACCTAACACCAGGTGTTGCTGTCTATTACTTCTCTGTTTATGCTGTTAGTAAATCATTCTCCAAAACACTGGTCACTTCTAATGGATTCTATGTTGGATACGATGGAGGCGTTACAGGTAATTGTTGTTTGCAGTGAAGGTAATATGATATTTTTTCCAACATTCCCTCTCCTTCCAGCCATATTTGAGAACCAAGCTAGAAAAGTTAGATAAATTCCTAACAGTTAAAGTGAGGTTTCTTATTACCCATTGTCTGTCTAGCTGTCTATTAATCTGTAATCTTTTTGATTTAATGATATTTTCAACTTCTCAAGAACCACTATGCTAATTCTGACTAAATTTGGTATAAAGATCCTTCAGTAATCAAACTTCAATTAGAGGATGGCTCATTAAATAGATATTTAATAAGAAGAAATTATTGTTAATAATCAGAGTATCCATATTTAAAGGGCATTTATATGGTTTTTTTCTTTTTCTAGTTGAAACTTTTTAACTGATCTTTTTTTTTTTTAATTCAGTTAAAACGTGTATAATTAATGGATTTATCAAATGTTTTATTTTTCGAAGCTGGCAACATCACCAGTCCAGCACCATGTATAAACTCCCTGAATGAATTGGATGTAAAGTATGAAGGATTCACATCTAAATTGGACATCCTTATGTATTATATTGCAATCTCCAATAACACAGATGCTAATAACAACAGCTGCAAAGAATATGTAAGTTGCAAAAAATATTGATTTTGTATACACTAAGTGTAAACAACCCTTTATGGTTCTTAGTAGTTATACCCCAAATTTCATTCGAAATATTTTCATGAATTGAATCCTCAACAAATATTTAATTGCATGAAAAAGATGAATTCCTTTATGAACTGTTTTAGATTTCTGGAGGCGGTATGTCTGATGAAGATAGAAAGGATATATTTTCTGTTCTGGATGTGTCCAACCAAGGCAAAAATACCTTCACAACACTCAAAGGACTAAACTTACAACAGGGGAAAACTTACTTTGTTTGGGTTATTGGTGAGTAAAGATGTGGTTCAATTTTCTATCAAGAGCTGAAGCTTATGAAAAATCTGTTAAATATATCAAATACTTTTACAATTATAGGTACTGACAAGTCTGGAGAATGTGCAATGTCTTCCACCGAGTTTTTGGTTGATATTACCGAGCCAAAGCAAGGTCAACTGAAAATAGGGCCCTGGTACAACATGGTGGGTAACATCATCTCTTTGTCAGACTTGAAGTCAAAGTTTTATATTCTTACCAACATGACTTCTATCAAGCATTTTTATTATTTTTCAGCCTGTTGCCTACACAACAGATAACAGTAGTGTCAACGTGACATGGGAGGGTTTCACAGATCAAGAGTCTGGTGTTGCTTCATATGAACTCTCTCTGTGGAGGAATGAGTCCTGTCATAGTACAACTGAAGGAGAATTAGTTAATGACTGGATTCAACTCTCCAGCAACTACTCTTTCTATCAGTTTGTGGATCAAAAGCTACAGGTACACAAGAATTGTATGAGAATATGAATTACAAGTGGTTCTTTCAGTAAAATTTTTCACGCATTTAAAATTGTGTTTAATTTTTTTTTCTGCAGAAGAATGTTCCATACTATGTGAAGCTGAGAGTGATAAACTGTGCTGGAGGTTTCCTGACCATAGAATCCCCACCAGTCCTGGTTGATGACACTGTACCCGTGTCAGGGGTCGTTATAGATGGGACAGACTTCCAACAAGATCTACTCTGGTTTGGTGACTCAAGTCAGGTCCAAGGTAGGAAATCAGATTTAATACCTTCTATCAATGATTGATTATCAATCTGAATACATTCTGTCTATCTACAATGTAGTCACAATTGTTGGTAATTATCTGATGCATTTATCATTAGATTTTAATTTCAATGGACGTAAAGTAAGATGTTGATAGAAAACCTCTAGAAAAAAGTAAAAAGTTGTGGAAAAAGTATACATATACTTGTCAAAACCTATTAAAATCCAATAATATTTTTGGTAAATTTATTCTATATAAGAAATACCAGTATATAAATTCACCCTATTTTATGACACTTCAAAATTGTTTTCTTGTTTTAGGCACATTTTTACATTTTCCAAATCCAAGTCTCCAGTCTGCATCATGTCCAAATCAGATTATTGCCATGAAAGATCCTCAGTGGAAGACACTTAACAGACTTGGAATGTTGGACCCAGAAGGTGAATTCTGGAAAGTAAAATATGATCAAAAGTATGTAATGCCAGTGGCAGTGGAGGACATTGTTGATGTAAAACTTGTACTGACTAAGGATGCAACAAACCATGATATTATGGGAGCAGGTGCTCTCTACAGGAAGGCAGAATTGTTTAATGGGGGAATATACAAGGTAAAAGATAAAGAATAAAATACAAATTTTGAAAGTAATTTGCAGTATTAAAAAACATCTTTTCATGCATAAGGCTTTCAGCAAGCTATATTCTTTTTTTCATTAGAATTTTATATGTTGTTTATATTTCCGTCAGTTTTTTTTTCAAATTTCCTTTTTAATGTCATTTTATCACGTACTTTTTTTGATTTCTTTGAACAGCTGAAGTTAAAAGCAGCTGACAGGGGTGGAGAAGCAGTGACAGAGGTTTTATTCTGGGATGGACCTGAAAAGGGTCTAGCAACATACAAATATGAAGAAGAGAAAGAGTTTGAGAACTGTGTCTGCTGCTTCACTAATCCTATTCCACCTGTAATTGAACAATTTCTATAGCTAAACTCACTTTAGCAAAGTAAATGAAACTCGCTATAATTTTCTGCCAATGTTATATGATTAATCAGAGAGTAATTTTCTGTATTCAGAGTTGCGATGGATGCATCTGTGCAGATTACCTTCTGAATAAAGGCTACTTCATGAATGAGACTTTCACGACAACCACCACCACTACACAGGCCCCAGACAACAGAACCTACCCTCCTTATGATGTGGTGGATGAACAGGGCTCCAGTGTCATTGATAAACCAGAGACAATCCAAAGTGTGGCTTACGACTCTTGTGGAATACAAATCTACTCTGGTAAAACAATATACAGGTCCTATAAATGCATTTCATTATTTTTATGGCAGTGCATTTATACAAGAAAGTATAGATTTTGAAAAAACTTGTAATAAGAATAGTTAGATATTGCCATGTTTTGTTGCAGCTGATAAACAGAACAACAAAAGTGCATTTGTTGTGTCATGGTGTCGTTACTTTAATAACTCAAGGAGAATGGGTAAACTAGTATCAGAAATTAAAGTGAATCCAAGTGAGGACTTTAACAATTACAAAATTGAATTTGCTGTGAAAAATGAGGACTCTACATCAGTGAGTACTGATTTTATCATCTATTATCATCCAAATCAATAATCTTTATCATTCTTTATCTAAGAATTTGACTAAAACGATTGTACAATGTAAAAAGCTGTTGAAATTCTTGTTATTTTTTAACGTGACATCAAATATTCTCTAACAGACCAAATGGTGTATGATGGTGTATGTGGAGGAAGAGTTTATCAATGAAATCTGTGATGTTCCACAGTTGTCCACCAATGCCTTGTTATTTTTCCATGTCTTCAAAAGACACAATGAGATCCCACCACATGAAGACAGATTCAGTGTTTGGTCAACTAAAGCTTCTCTGTCTGGTCTAGAGATGCCCCCTGCTGTAGGGACCCTGTGTAGGTCTGGTCCTCAGTTCATCAGTTATACCAATCCTATCATGTTGTATGAAGCTGGCGTCGGAACATCTCCTTTGTTAACTGATGCAGTGGAATTCACACCGGTATAACTTGCTGTTTTAATTGCTTTTATTGTGTAAAAGCATTTTGCTTCATATATTATATAGAATAGGGCTGGGTATTGGCCCAAGATTTCGTATTGCGATATATTGCGATATTTTTAACTGTATTGCAATATGTATTGCAATACTTTCAATGTAATTTAAACAGATTTTTCTTACTATGTTTATTTTAATTTACATGTAGAAAGTACATAACTATGACAAGTAACCAACACGGAAAAAAATCTTATTGATTTTATTTAAGTTATGCTTTGAAATGTTCCCACAAAACAACTTCTGTCTTACTGTTTGGCGTAATAACAAACTTTCATAAGTCAATTTTTATATTTAATGACAAAATTCCTTAAAGTAAGCATATTGCCAATATATCAATATTACAAAATCGTATTGCGATACGATATTTTTTGGCATTGTATCGCAATATATTGAAATATCGATATTATTGCCCAGCCCTAATATAGAACTAATGAAACAGAATGAAGATTGTGTACCGATTGTATTATTTTACAGATTGATCATCCCTGCATTCCCTGTTATGGTGATTGCTCCCATTATGGCTGTGATTCTTACTGTAATGCCACAGTGACAGTTCAGAAATTCTTTACACTGACCAATATAAGCTTACCCTCCAAAAGGACAATCTACAATGAGACTGGGCATCCATCAGAGGAGATTATCACTTACTACATGACAGGTATCACAGCACAATTCTATATTTTGTTAAAAAAAATCTAGGTTAATTACAATTAAGACTCTGCATAAATAAGGCTGGAAAGGATTGAATGTATGAATTTAATGTCATTCTTTTAACAATGCATGTATATACAGGGACATGTAATGGTCATACCATTGAACTGTCTTGAAGATGATTTTGCATTATAAAGTTTTAAATTTTGTATTCAGAATCATTTATTGCTTTAGCCGTTCTTTTAATTTTGCTCCTCTTTCAATTCCAAACGCAGAACTGATTTTTTTTCCCTTTGCAGTACGTGGTGTGACAGGATCTGGTGCCACCACAGAGAGTTCCTCCAATGGATTTTATGTGGATGATACGGTCCCAGAATTCGATCTGGACATCATGGGAGGAGATTTCTATTTTGATGTTGGACAAGGGGAGAGTACTCCTGTTAAATACCAGAAATCAAATGACACCATCAAATGTATCTGGAAATGTGATGACGAAGAAAGTGGTATAGTGGTAAGTATTATCTTAAATTACTTAAAATCTGCTAGAATGATCGTAGTACACATCTAAAAACACAACTTATTCTTTTGAAATGTAATTTTTTCATAAAAGATAGTGTATGTGGCCCTTTGAAAAGATGTTGAGAAATATTTCTCTTTTCTTGCCTTTCTAGGAATATACCTGGGCTATAGGAACAACTCCAGGATCTACAGATATCCAGAACTTCACCTCTACAGGACAGAATGTTGTAGGAATCAATGACCAGCTAGGTGGAATACTGGAACATGACCAGACCTACTATGCCACCATCACCTGTACCAATGGGGCTGGCCATACCACAGTCTACACAGACACAAAAGGTAAATTGATTTAATTTTTCATGTATATTCTATACTGAATTTTCTGCTAAAATATCAGCATTGTATTGAAAAAAAAAGCTTAGGATGCATTTTATAAATGTGATAGTGCTTAAATTTAAAATTTGAAAATACCTAGGAGTTGTTGTGAAGTTGATACCACCAGAAGTAGATTCTGTGAACACCACTTTACCTGGAACAATGCCTTTTACTGAGGAGGTTTTCCCCAAAGAATCTCTGCAACAAAACGATCCTTCAACTGTGGGCTTCACTTTCACAAAGTCAGAGGATCCATCTGTCAATAGATATGGTAAGCTTAGTTCACCATGTTTTATATTGATCTGCTGGTTGAACAAATACAGTGTTGGAGATACGTCTTTGGGAGACAATTAAATATTATGTCATGTTTGTAAGACAATCTGATATTTCAGATCTTTGTGTTGGCTCAGAAGAAAACACAGATGATATATTCCCTTGTACTTGGGTTGGTTACAACATGTCTGGGTCTGCAAGCATCAGAAATGGATCTTTGTGGATAAATGGCAAAGAAGTGAGGAAATTATCCGAGCTAAATCCTATGCATGAAAATTCATCATCTTCAAAAAATGATGGATTCAAGATGCCAGTGGGCAAGCAGATGTTTGTGACCATGCGTCTGTGCAATGAAGCCATGCTCTGTACTAACAAGAGTCTAGGAGTTGTAGTCATCACCAACAGTGAATCTGTGATAGCCACCTCCACCAATGGTACGGCCATCAAAGAGAGGCTCTCACTCTCTGCCAGAAAGAGGTCTACAGCTGACCTTGACATCTCAACTCCAAGTGGTAGGTTAATAAATAGTAAGGGAAATCTAACTTTAAATGCTAGGTTGATGAATATAACAGTACTTAGAATTAATATATGATATTTATGTATATAGGTTTAGCAGATGGACAATCAATCATTGTGACTAAGCTAACACAGAGAGATCTGGAGACCACATACAGTTCTGATGCCTCCACTAACTTTGTACCTTACATACAAGACCCAGCAACATCTAATGACATGGTCCAGAGACTTCTGTATAAGAGGTTTGGCAAAAACTCTCAAACATTGATTTTTTTTTCTTTTTAGAAAGTTTGTTCATTGCAAGTAGCACGATTATATATTTTATTCTTTATTTAAAGGTTTTATGGCCATGGTTTCTCTTTCTCCTTGGTTCCTCTGGGAAATGTTGAACTACCTGGCCCTCTTACCATGTCTTATCCTGATAGTGTGGGAAAAGTGACCACTGGAAACAGGACAACTTTAGTTCATTGGAATTCAAGTCAGTTTTCATAAATCTCTTTAAATAATTATTTACTCTAGCTTAAAGAAACATTTTTAGGTGAATTATCCAAGGAATTCACATCCTTCTGCTAAAAAGAAATGAACAATGAGTTACTATAAAACATGATTTTGGTAATGACCATCATTATCTCAAATGCTTCATATCCTGTCTGCATAGGTTAATGTTTTGTATTTATGAAGTTTTATGATGAAATCATAATTTCTAACACTAACACTTTTGAACAATTCTGGACACTCAAAATTGGTAGCAAGAGATTGCAGGTACTGAGAAATGTCAACAGCTTTATCCCAAACCCCCTACAAGGGCTGCTTTCCCCTTGACTTATTAGGGATTTCCACATCACACAGTCCTTAGAAACCCCTGACATTGCTGTAAATATCTGTTTCAAAAATATAAGAGAGTCGGTTAAATAATGCATTTTTATATATCTAGATATGCAGTATTGGGAGATCAGTAGCAAGACCTGCACTCATCTAACTGCAGAGGAACAAGAGATGTATGATCCTAACACACAAACAATGACTGTCATGGTAAATGTATCTCTGTGTTGGTTTCATTTGTTAATAAAGTTTAAAAAATTGTTAAAGATGATATGCTGGATTGCAAAGTATTTACAATTACAAAAATTTTGTTTGAATTAACCAATGCTATATGCTATAATTAGGTATGTAGTACATATAACCTTGAGCCCAGGCCTGCTGAATCACGACAGAAGAGATCTCTACATCCAGCATACTTCAGCAGGGAGACTATGTTTATACTGGCAGATACCGCAGCATCCATTTATAACTCACCACCCAGTCTTATCAGTATAAAAGATGTAAACATTCTGGAGGACTCAGGTAAGCATACTAGACCGATTTCAACACTTACAAGTAATAATTGTTATGCAGAATAAATAAAATTATATTCATTGAAAAACTGCCACACTGTCAGGTTCTGTTAAAAACTTTTAGGAATTGTAAAATACCAACTAGAAGCAACAGATGAAGAAGGTGATACCATTAAGTTCAAACTTCAAGACAAAACTTTTAATCTGGGTGGAGCTACTTTGTCTTCTGATGGACTGTAAGTTTTCATTTTATTAATTTGAAGTCCTTTTAAGAGGTGTTCTATACTATCTCAGAGATATCTACTTTAATTTTGTGCCTATCAGATATTCTCTTGAACAAGATATTCTCTGATTATATTGAACTTCTTTCATACAAAGAAGAACTTGGTGTAAATAAGTTTAAGAAGAAATCAGGTGTTAAATGAGCTGATATTGTTATACAGGTTGATGTACACTCCATGTCAGGATTGTTTTGGAGTTGAGGACATTGATATTGTGATGTATGAGGAACAGAGAGACCCTGATATTCCTCCTGCAAACAGCACAGACACCATCAGAATCAACATCCAGGCTATCAACGATCCACCGGTCATCTTCCTCATCCACAGTGGGCAATCCATACTGCATGATGATCCAACAGAGCCTATCAGTGTAAGATTTTACTGATGATCAATTCTGAACATAAACTCAGTTAAATTGCATGTTTTTTTCCTTATTCCTGTTAACTAAGGGAGCTCACTGGGGTTTTATTGTGTGAAAACTACGATAGAGAAACTGTTTTAAATTAGTTTTACATCATATATAACATACATTGATTTCAGTATACTTGCCAAGTTTAGGAAAAATCTTCCATCTAGGTATTTTTTTAGGGACCATCTCAAAATACTGGTACATTTACTTTAGGGTTATAAAAGACTATTTGCTCAAATTATAATATGTGATGAGTAATATTATATACAAGAAACACAAAATTCTACCATCTGGTCTCCAGAGGAGGCATGTTAAACTTAGCGAAATTTTTTATGCATCAAAGAACTTGATGTTTTGAATTTAATTTTAGATTTTGCTGGAGGCTAAGAATGACTTTAATGTGGAGCTGTGGGATGAACCCTGGACAGCAGTACTTGGAGCTTATGATGTGGAATTGGCAGACTCACTGCATTTAGAATTATCTGGGTCTTCAACAGCAAACTTATCTCTATCTGATGAAGCTAGGAGAATACCATCAGTCCTAGGAGATTGTTCATTGAAAGAGGTTTGATTTAACATGATATTATGAATTCAGATGTTAGAAACACAATATTCCTGTTATTCTGTCAAATATTCTGTATACAGATGTGTCTCTCTTGTCATTCTTAAATTCTGTTCATTTTAAATTGATTGATTAAATAGATCTTATTTTCCATCAGAATCAGCCTTGTATGAGTAATTTTTCTGAAAATCTGCCACATCCTGCTGATAAACTATCATGGCTGAGTTACACAGTCCAGTTTTCACAACCACTGAACCAGTTTGGGAATTTTTCTGCAAACCTCTTTTTCTTGGATAGTGGAAATGGAACTTCTCTTCCAATTACCATCAAGTTTGGGCTGATGGAATCGCCATGTCAAAATGGTGGAAAATGCCTTGGTAATTGTTTTGAGTATTTTAATGACACATTTACTTGTGTACAGGTACTGCATTCTAGGGAAGAAAATGCACTGACAAAAACCTGTGCAATTTAATGCACATTTAAAAACAATTCTCTATTTGTACTCTTTTTATTTACAGCCACAGGTATTTATCCTTGCAATGACACCCATAGAACACACAGCTTTGATGCCTACTACAGATGTGAATGTCTAGGAGGTTACCAAGGGAAGTACTGTACCGAGGATATAAATGAATGTCTCAGTGATCCCTGTGAGGCGCCCCTTATCTGTTATAATGAAATCAACCACTACCGGTGCGCATGTCCTCAGGATCAGCCTAACTGTGAGCTCCTGCCCTGGATGATAGCACTTATTGCTGTTCTGGTGGTGGTGGCGGTCGTGGTCATCATCGTGTTGGCAGTTGTGAGATATAAGGTCAAGAAAAGGTACATTAACACAGTACTTAAACATGTTTTTGATTAAAAATATATAATATTTTGTAGATAACAAGTTGTGTAATGTACACTGTATCTAAGTTTTAATTCGAAAGCATTAACTTACGGTACTCTGATGTTGATTATTCAAGCTTAGAATTTTTTGTCACTCGAATCACTCAGATGACCTTTAGCCATAAATGTCCTTTGTTCAGCATCCTTGTATTTCATACCATTTTGATCAAGAAAATAAGATGTGGCATTTGGCAAAGGTTAGAGCTCTGAGATAACATTATAGAATATTTGATTGAGTGAGAAAATGCATCAAAATGACATCAGAAGCTTGCAACACATCAAACAAAGTTTCAGTGTTGTGATAGCTATAGAATAAAAGAAAGAACGACAGCTTCTGGAAAACTGTTCAAAATATGGGACACATATCATTTTGTGGGATTTTTTTTTATCCTGCCATGATTCTGTGAAGGGGGTAAAAGTTGTGCTTAGCTGATATGCATAATACATGTATGTATGTCATGAAGTACTCCTATAAAAAAAAATAATTTTAAAAGAATCTTTTTATTTTTCTTGTAGGAAAGAACCCTATGAAAAAGAGTGAGTAAAATCAGTTTTGAATTATATGATAAAATGTAGACAATTATGAATTGGTACAAGATAAATGATAAAATGCATGGTAGATTTGAAATCTTGTCACAGTGACTATTATTTTATATTGTGTTGTTGTGCACTTCATGTATTTGACAATTTCTTTTTCAGACTTCTTGGGTCACAGTCTACATTAGCTTCCACGGCCAGTCTGAACAAATCAGATGAAGGTAGATATTGCCATACTTGTTACCACTTATACCTTTGTTTCAAAATACCCAAAGTTGCATCCCTGTTGAATCATTAAGCCCTTTGTGTATCAGGTTTTATATTTGTAACTTTACTGGTTGACTTCATTTACAATCAATGGATAAGGGGGATTCAAATTACTGGTAGATCAAATGAAGAACCAACAAATATTCTGAGAGGATCAGGTTTTGATGAAATACAGATTTATTTAAGTGAATCATGAGGAAGACTGTGTTCCTGTTGAATATACTTTTTTGAGCACATTTACAGTGCCTTTAGAATTGAAGATGATCTAGGAAACTGAAACTTAAATGAAATTTGTTACATTTTCTATTTTAGGAGAAGAAGGGAAGACTGGGGATCAGGTAGGGCTGTCGAAAATACTTTATTTTTTTCAAAAATAGATAGGTTTATTTATCATGATATTATTTGTTTTTTAATTTCTTTACTCTTTTTGAAGAATATTTTTACAAAGTATTTCTGAATCTATAGTATATCAATTTTTTAAAAAGATTCCTCCTTCATTAAATTATATTCTGTATTTGTATTGCAGTGCTCATCTGGAATACTTTGGAAAGAACCAGAGATCATGTTTGATGAATCAGAGGTAATTTTTCAAAAAAAATTTAAAGCAATTTATATTTCATTTCAATTTGGAAAAAATATATAAGAAATTTAAAACATGTCCTTATGGCATGAATGCCCTGTCAAGTGTATATATTTATATGTATTCTACCTATTTCTTTGTACAGAACTTTACTGAAGAAAAGGTTCCATTGCCTGATAAAAAGGAAATGGTAAAATTTTTTTAAAATCCTAGATTGAAAGATCCCGGGGGTATTATTGTTTTTGTCCTGTCTGTCTGTCTCTCTGTGTGTCTGTTGTCAACTTTAACCTAGCCCATGACTATTGAGTGGGTGGGGCTATGGCTTTCATATTCCACAGGTGTATTCCTTGTGACAAAACCTTTCTTTGGGTACCACCAAATGACCTCCTGACCTTGGAGTTTGGCCTTCTTTTAAAAAAAAACAAACTTTAACCATGGCCATAACTTTTGAACATGGTTACGACTAGGGCTTTCATACTTCACATATGTATTCATTGTGACAAGAACTTTCAGCTAGTATAAATAATATTTAACTTTTGAACTTGACCTAAGACTTTGACCCATTTTTTAAACAGTTTAACTTTGGTCATATAAAACTTTTGAACAGTTAAAACTAGGGCTTTCTTATTTCACAAGTGTATTCCTTGTAAAAAGACCTTCCTTTGGGTACCAACACTTTTGACCTTGACATTTGGAGTTTGACATGCATTTAAGGGTACTTAACACAAACAAAAATTTGATGCATGGATCGATGTATATTTTTTGACTGATTTTGACTTGAAATGACATGAATAAAAAATCCCTGAAATATAAAGAAATCATAGGATTTCCTTGGTGCTTAAATATGAGATTTTGTTTTGTTTTCTTTATAATTCCATACAAAATTTTGCACAAATTTTTAACCTTATGACAAAATCTTATAAAATTCTACCACTATACTTGATGAACATTTTTCAGGTTACCAATTTAAATGTAAATCTATCAGAAATGTTCCTGATTTATGAAAAAAGTTTGTGTTATTTATCCTTAAGGGAATGCAACCCTCACTATAAAATCTGCCATGCGGGTGATCAGTGTTTCACAAACACATCTTGTTTATTCTGGAATATAATTCACCATTTTCAGGAATTTTAAAATTTTTCCTTTCTAATTTTTTTTTAACTAAAAAACATTTATTAATGCAGGTTCCGGTACAGAATTGGGTAGAACAGAAACATGATGCTGATTACTACAGCAACCGCCTTCTGAAATCCAACTTTAAGCCTTTGCTACCAGTCAAGGATTCCATTGCATCAGCAAAACAGACCATCAAGAAAGAGAAGGGTCCTTTTTAAAACATTTAATCCCATTGGCACTGAAAGGGTTGCTGCAAATCTTGTAAGAAAAAATCCTCATCGGGCAAGAAAACAAAGAAAGAAAAGGCAGAGCAGCATTTGAAACAGAACCTAAGAAAGACGACTATGGGCCCAACTAAACCTGCATTTCCAACTCAAGTGCTACCAGAAATAAGGAGGGCAGATCAGACAAGGATTCCCGGCTCAAATGATCCAAACCTGATGAAATCAAGTAAAGTTCATCCTGTTGATTATGACTTGAAACCAAACAAGACGACTGTCAAGCAAGACCAGGATTCTGTTGATTCAGCCCCTACATTACTGCATGACCTTACACCGTCAGTCATCACTCCTACAGACCCACTAAAGGAAACCCAGAGTCCCAGATTTGAAGGGTTGGTAGTTACCAGACACAATAAAGTCCATCCACTGAATACAAAAGGATCTGACCTGCAGACAACTTTTACTGATGAGAGCATGTCTGTTTCTGAGAGGGAAAAGAGAGATCTGATTGAGCTTGAGGCCAGCTCTAATAAAAAATGTGCCATTGAATTGGAAGATAAGTCTGGAACCAGCTCAGTGTGAACGACAGTTCTTTAGTTCTCATAGCTGTGTAAATCCTATCAAACTTTGAATTTCTTTCCAACTGATTTTATTTGCTTTAAAACTAAACAGCTTTAATCTATACTATCAGATAACCAATCAATATTTTCTCTTTTTGAAAAGATGATTATGAAATGTTCATTAATTTTTGACAATGTACCTAATAATTTTGGAGTATTTTAATAAACTTCATGAAATTCAGTTGTGTTTTGTTCAAGCAAGACAATGGCTCAAATTCAGCTATCATGCATGCATTCCAACAGCTTTATTAGGACCCTGCAAAAATTTGCATGTAACCAACATAATCTGTCATTCTATTCACCCCCAACTGTTTCATTTTTCGTAATTATTTTAATGAATAACCTATTTATATCCCCTGCAAACGAAGTTTTCGGGGGGGGGGGGGCAGAGCAGCATTTGAAACAGAACCTAAGAAAGACGACTATGGGCCCAACTAAACCTGCATTTCCAAATCAAGTGCTACCAGAAATAAGGAGGGCAGATCAGACATGTAGGAATCACCTTGTCTTTCAAGCTGTCTAGCTGTCCGTCCGTCTGTGCAAACGTGTCCGGTCCATATCTTTCTTACTGAGGAACATTAGAATCTACTACTCCACACGAAGATTGCCCATGACTCAAGGGTGTGTCATGACCTTGACTCAAAGTCATTTGGGGAAGTTCAAGGTCACTGGAAGAAAAAGTTCATAATTCGTGTCCGGTCCATATCTTTCTTATGGTTAAACTTGGTAGGTTCTCATATCTTTCTTATGGTTAAACTTGGTAGGTTCTCATTTCACATAAAGATTGCCCATGACCCAAGGGTGTGTCATGATCTTGACCAAAAGTCATTTGGAGAAGTACAAGGTCACTGGAAGAAAAAATTCATAATTCGTGTCCGGTCCATATCTTGCTTATGGATAAACTTTAGGTTCTCTTTTCACACAAAGATTGCCAATGACCCAATGGTGTGTCATGACCTTGACCCAAAGTCATTTGGGGAAGTTCAAGGTCACTGGAAGAAAAATTTCATAATTTGTGTCAGGTCCACATCTTTCTTATGGATAAAGTTGGTAGGTTCTCATTTCACACTTAGATTGCCTATGACCCAAGGGTGTGTCATGACCTTGAGCCAAGGTCATTTGGGGAAGTTCAAGGTCACTGGAAGAAAAAGTTCATAATTTGTGTCTGGTCCATATCTTTCTTATGGATAAACTAGGTAGGTTCTCATTTCACACTTAGATTCTTCATGCTGTATGGGTGTCATGACCTTGACCCAAGGTCATCTGTGCAAGTTCAAGGTCACTGAAAGAAAAATTATAATTCATGTTTGATACCTATCTTTATTATGGAAAAACTCTGAAAAACCCAGCGGGGGGTATTTTGTCCTGTTTGGACAGTTCTAGTTATAATTCAGAGTATAGTTATGCTGAGCCAGAGTGTTTTTTTTCTCATATTATGAAATTCATGGCCCACGAGTCAGGGGTTCTAGGGTAAGATGGGGTGAATCAAATTTTGAAAATGCATCAATTCTGAAATTCTGGGCTATTTAAAACAGACAAACTAAGTGCATGGTTGCAGTATGATGAGCAAGGATATCATTTCCAACTTAGTGGAATTCATGGCCCCAAGGTCAGGTACTACAAGAGGGTTCTGTTGATCTAAAAACTTTCACTACCAATCAATCACCCCGAAAATGAAAGTCAAATTAAGCATCAGATTTCTGTAGAGAGTGAGTGTCTGTCATGATGCATTATCCATGCAAGCTTGGTTGGATAGGCCTCATCGTTTCTTGGTAATGGATCTGCTCCAAAAATTACAATCTGGTCAATCAATAGAAATATGCAGGTCAAATCTAGCATCTTAACAAGCATTTCTGGTAGTGATCATTGTCATGTTCTACCCCCAACCTTAGCTGAGGTGAGCTGTTTAACATTATTTTTAAAATGGGTGAATTAAAGTATATAAAACAATGTTTTTAGCTCTACTGGTCAGAGACCAGAAGAGCTTATGCGATAGTAATGCGTCCGTCCATTTGTCTGTCTGTCTGTAAACAATTTTTCAAAATGATACTCCTCCTAGTTTTGGTCTGATTTCAATATAACTTGGCACACAAATAGACTACATTAAGATACGTTATTCTATATATCAGTTTTTGATTTCAATGAACGGTGTTGTCGTGGTTACTAAAAATAGAAATTTCAGTGAAAAACATTCAAAATGCTACTCCTCCTACAGTTTTGGTCTGATTTTAATATAACTTGAAACACAAGTAGACTTCACTAAGACACATAATTCCATGTGTCAATTTTTGATTTCGATGAACGGTGTTTCTGTGGTATGCAAGTAGACTATACTAAGATACATAATTATCAGTTTTGTGTTTTTAATTTTGATGATTGATGTTGCCATAGTAATTTTAATTGAAAATTCTATAACATTTTATTAAAAGCTACTCCTACAGTTGTAGTCTTATTTCAATCTTGCCATAAAAAGAGATTTAATCAATGATCATTATACTATTTATTGTTTTTGTAAAGTTGAAAGTCCCAACTGCTACTTTTCTCTTCCTTTATTTTAAGTACAAACCATTAGAGCTGCAGTCTCGAAAGAGACTTCTGGTTTTATTTACTGTTGGCCTAATGTCCTTACTTGCAGGGATATTTGTGTGGACAAATAAAGACAGGTTACATCAAATTCTCTGAAAAGAATTGAGTAGGAGTATTACATACAAGTCTCTAGAGCAAGGAAAAGTATCAATTATTGATAAATTTATTATATGCACTGTTTTAGAAATCTAACAACACAGAATTAACAATGAAATCAGGCATACGATACATAAAAAAAAAACTCTAATTAAAACATGCTTGTAGAATTAACAGAGAACAACTCAAACAAAACAAAATCAAAAGCAACAAATGAAAGACATAACATTTATAAACAAATGACACAACTACTTATCACATACAGTTATTACATAGAACTGGAGGACAATACAAAAGTGTTTCCATTTCAATTCAAGTAGAAGTTCATATTATTTATAATAAGCTTATTTATATCAAAAGCTAAAAGAGTTCCCCCCCCCCCAAATAAAATTAAATACTTTAAACTGTGTTAGTTGCGAAATATAAAACACATCCACAAGGTCTACACTGAATGTATCAATTAAGTACAGTAGTTAATACTGGATTGATAACACATCAACATACATTGAATGGATCAAATTAGACATGCCTCTTGCTAAAACACAAGAAGGAAATAAACACCAAATTCAAAGGATTTGGCAGAATTTTGTCATGTCTTACTATATTAAATTCATTTCAAGACATTTCGCTGTGCAATAAACTGATACTGAGCTCTACTACTAAACATTAGTCTGTGAATCATTTTCAAAAGAATTTTGTTTCATACATAAGAATGCAAAATCTTTCTTTTAAAATTAACACTAGTTCAGCATGTCAGACTGAAAATTGCACCACACATCAAACTTGCATGTACAGAATATCTGAATTATTTTATTATCAGGAAATACTTTGCGATTTTAAATTCTGCTTATCGGTGCCATCTGCAAATTTTCACAAAAATTGGACAATTGCAAAAAATACACAATTTTATAGTAAGATGTCGTAGACAATTCCTTACAACATCAAAAACACTGATTATCCTTTAAAAACAAGATTTACTATTACGTAACTAATGGCTCAGCAAAAAAATATCTGAATCTCAAAGTTCAAACAAAATATGTACAAGTAACATTTTAGCTGCCTTCTTGAACAAAATAACTTGTCCATGCATATTCACAACATGAACTTCATATAAAAGTTCTAACCACAGAACAACACATCATGGTAAATGTCATATGTTCTAACTACAAATATTTACATTACATTAGACATTTTCCTTAATACAGACAGTATGTTGCAATTATAATTCAACAACATTCAGAGCACCAATTTACGTGTATGTGATGTGACAATTACAAATTCGTTGCCAAAAATATAAGTTAATGGATGTAACAATTCATGGCCCCATACAATGATTATTGTTTCATATGTAGTACATGTAATCTGAAATACTGGTTATAATACACTCATACATATTTTTCAAATTTCTTCACCTTATTGATTGGTATTAAAAGAGAATCCATGCAGAAAGAAATATAAATCTGGTTCATGCTAAGCATGTCAAATTAAAATAAAAATACAAATATATACTGCTTTTAAATCAAAAAAGTATTTCACTGAGTATACTTCTAATGATTCTGGAATTTGATTATGCTCAATTGAAATACAATTATAATCATGAAAACAGCTCAGCTGTAACTTTTGAATTGTAGACAATTATGGAATGTTTGAGAAAATGAGTACAGGGGGTAGTTATGAAGTACTTTTCTTTAGTAAATGGTATAAAAATGTCAATATAAGTATCACATGTCACTTTTTTTGCAATTTACAAATCTATAATTAACTTGAGATTAGAGTTACAACACTATTCAAAATTTGTAAGCATGACTTGTGTTAATCAAAACCCCAAATTGCAAAAATTAAACCTTCAATACATCACCAAAGTCACAAACAGGTTTATTTCTTTATATCTCCTGGAGAAATCTGTCTCTCTCCCTCACCAAGAAATATTTGTAGAGCCTTTCTTAGAAGGAAGACCCCAAATCGCTGACGGTTTTTAATCGACCATGATGTGGCTGGACCGTAGACATCTCCCCTTTTTATATTTGTTAATCGAGGTAAACCTGCAAATAAAATGTTCTTTTGTTTATAACAAATGCAAACAAACCCAATATTTTCAATTAATATTTTAAAATTTTATACACATCTGTCAGTAAATTGGGAGTGTGAAACATAAGATGATGTAAGACTGAAAGTTGCAAATACATGTTCTGTACTTCTGATAGACCTGATACATACTGAACAGATACATGTATCACAATGTGATGTCAATTTTTCAGGAAAAAATGAATGTATTTCATGAACATATTTGTGGTTTGAACTGGTTTTCCATAGAGCTAACATTAATTGGGGAGGGGGGATTAAACTGGGCTGACTCCTAGATTTTTTTTTCTCAACAAGTTTTTGGTCAGATGTTTTCTTTTTTTTTTTTTTTTTTTTTTTTGAATGTAGTGGACAACACCTAAGAAAAACTCCTTGATCAGCAACAAGTAAGGTTGGAGTTTAATTATAAATATTAACAATGCACTATTTTCCAATAATTATATTCTTACTTAAAATGTACACTAATGTGTAAGCAGTATAAATTCAAAATTAACTCGGAAAGTATTTTTCTCCTCTTCTCAAATCTTTAAAAGAAGTTTATAAATAATTTTTCAGTAACAAAAAATATTAAATCATCTCTTTACTGGCAGAAATGCCAGTATTGGGAGGGGATTCTCTACATTTTGTAGCTCAAGTGAACTATATGAAACTAGTTTCCATTAACAGAATCACTGACTTACCTATGGCATCCACCATACAGGCCTCTCTTGTGTATGCCTCCACAGGGATGACGCTCTGAAAACAGTGCAGGGAAACAACTCCTTGCCCATCATTCCAGATGTCCAAGATATGTTGGACCTTCTTACCAGCCTACAAAATACATCAATCTGATTTCTCTAAACAGCTTTACTAGAATGATTTGCTTCCTTATTTTGATCCTAAGAACATAACAGTGTATGGCACACTTATTTGAATTTATAAACCATTTAACTGAATAATGAAGACAACTAAGGCTAGCTCATATCTTGAATGATTAAGAAATCATTTTCATAAATGTTCATTCAGTTTTGTTGTTCATTGCATTTGTACTTTTGTTTGTTTAACTTACTTTGCCCAGATTATTGTTCATGTGGGACTGAGCTTCAAAGAGATGACAGTATGGTCGGGACCGCTTGCCTTTGCCGATGTAAAATATAGCACCAACAAATATCTTAAATGTCTCTAATTCACCTAAAAATTAAATATAGTAATTATTACAAAGTACTGTAAACCAACTTTTATTCGCGTGCGAGAAATTTTCGCTAAGTTCGCGACAGCCTCTTCATCGCGAATATTTCTCGCAGCGAACCAGTCATAAAGGTCTCTTTGTCTAATAACAACAGATAAAAAGTCGCTTCATCACGAAAATTAATCGTCGCAAACTAGTTTAAGCTCGGTAAATTGCGAAATAAAGTTGTCGCAAACAAAAATTGGTTTACAGTATTAAAATAAATAATCATAAATTCTTAGTGGTTGATATATTCTTCTGATAAGATCAAACCAAATAGAGCAAGATAATTAAAATCAGATGCTGCTAAAAACTTATCTGACAGCTTTGAATTACCTGTTTCATCATTTATATTTTAAATTCTGAATTTCACATAAAGCACTGATCCTGTATAACTGAGGTAAGACTTACCGAGGTTATCTGCCCTGTTGGGTAGGTCCTGAGTGATCCGAGGATCCAGTAAGAGGTAGTTAAAGGAGGATTTCAGGGCCCCCTCCCTCCAGGTCCCAGACAGACTCTTGTCATTAAACACCTTAAACAGGTCGTCCTCCATCTCCCGCAGACCCACCATATCAAAGTGTCCCTCAAAACTATTAAGCAGCACTGACGGGTAATCTGAGGGGAAAATTAGTTATAGAATTGCATGGTTCTATAACATTATTAATTTTGAGTAATAACAAATGCACTTTTAATCAAATCTTCTTTTTACATGCTAAGATACAGTAGCTAGTCAATGAGAGTGTATTCATGAATGTTCATGATCCATGTAATATAAATGATACAGTGTAAGAAAAAGATGAAAATGAAAACTGGAGACACAGAATTGATAGAAGTATTAAGATGTATTAAGCAAAAATTGCTTAAAATAATCATCATCAATTGACAAATCTTAAATCTAACTGTAATTCAAAACACACCTGGTAACTTCTTCAAAATCCCAAGCTGGCCCCCTTGTAGATTGGTTTCCAGTTGTTTAAGTCTTGCTAGGTATGTCTGCCTAGTAGACAGAACAACTGGTCCAGGGTTGTCCCCTAGGCCCTTTAACTTCTGATGGATTTCTTTATTAGACAACACATTATTTATGTCATCTGATTTGTGGGAGTAGTGTTTCCAGTCATACAGTTCTGTCTTCTGGGAGTCCACTGTTGACTGGCTACAAATACTGTTGCTGGATGGACAGCCACTACTTCCACAGAATGACGATAAGATATGTTTTTCTACCAGTTTGTTACCGGTGTCTGGATCTTCCCAGTAGTGAATTGTGGACTCTGCGGTACTTGCCAGAGATATGGTGTCTATGCTGTATGGTAGTGTCTTGTTGAGATCATCATATGGATCATACAGTTCAGTATCTTCAGAGTTTCCTGACTGTTCAAGAGTGGACGAACAAGAGTCAGTGGCTGATGGAAAATTTTGCTGATGCCATTGTCTGACAAGTTCCTTCTTACTTGGGGATTTCAAGGCAAGACTACTTAAACTTTTAGCAAAACTGGGTTTACTTGGAGCACAAAAGCTGTCATCTGATGTCAAAAGGTCGCTCAGGTTTGCTGGTAGAGAGGACGGTAGAGCTACAGGGGGTGAGAAGACTTTCCTCTGGTTAGGAGATCTGACGGTCTGAATAGAAGATCTGACGTTCTGTGTAGATTTGAGGTTCATGGCACTGAACTGCCTGAGAACATCATTATTTTCAGGACAAAAGCTTTCATCTGAAGTCATCAGATCACTCAAATTAACCGGGTAAAATGGCCGTGGAGAACATCTCGGTGAAGTCTTTTTATCTTTGAAAACCTCATACACATAGTTTTCACTGTTTCTGACACTTTTTCTTTCCTTGGTCTTGTCTTCCTGTCCAATGTCTGTCTTTGGACTAATGCTTCTGAGTGCATTTCTGTTTTGGTTTAAACAAGGACAGTTCTGCTGTTGACCACATGCACATGTGTCCCAGTGACTAGTACAAGTAAGAAATGACTCCTCTGATGTCAGAGTGTCATTTCTCCTTCCTTTGATGTCAATGTATGGATGATCTGTAAGGAAAAGAAACATTTAAAAATAAGATTTAAACTTATAAAATCAATTATTATAATACAGGTATACATATGGTAGGCAAACTTTTTTCCGTGGGGTCATAATTCCGCGGAATCTCAATTTCTGTTTAATCCGCGGGTAGAAAATTCCGCAGATTTTCTCGACTGTCACTATATGCCTTACATTTATATTAAGTATGCTTGGACAAATTTCCATGGAAATAGTGTTAATTAATACCACGTGAAAATAAGTACTTCTACAGTATTCAAATTTAGGTAAAGCATCTACTATAATGTAATTTATGGCACGCCAAAAATCACGAAAATGAGCTAAACATAGTTTCACAGTCGATAAACTAGGTTTATCGGTTGTAAACTATAGTTTACGGACTGTAAACTATAGTTAACAACGTTAATCTATATTTTACATCGTAAACCATAGTTAACGTGATAATCTATATTTCACAACCGTAAACTATACTCAACACTGAAAACAATCATTTATATCAATCAACTATAGTTTACAAATGTGAATCTATGTTTATCAACAAAATCTATTGTTAACGCTTATTACAGACAGATAAACTTAAATTATCATTCGTAAACTATAGTTAACAACCGTTAAATATAGTTTTACAGATGAAAACTATACTTAACGAATCGTTAACTATACTTAACGAATCATTAACTATAGTTTACGGTTTGTAAACTATAGTTTACAGTCGATAAACCTAGTTTACCAAATGTGAAACTAGGTTTTTCTCATTTTTGTGAATTTGGCGTGCCATAGAAATTTTATTAATTTTTATCAAATAAAATTTTACTTCATCAAAGCTCCTTGAATTTCCTATTTAAATAAAATATGTTGAAAATTACTAAGGACCTGGAGATGTCACATCCATGCAGTACGTATTCTTCATTAAAAGGTCTTTCATGGTACTTGAACTTGAGTCCAGTTCTTCTACAAGATGCAATAAGATTGAATTATTCTGTAACCATTCTTTATGTCCTCTTTTATGTGATGGCATCCTGGCAATGCCAGGGGTCCTGACTCCTGAGTCAACAAGTTGCCGTTGGACCCCTGGCATATCTCACTAGATATTTTAGGGCTTGCTTCCCTCATTTAGAAGCACCATAAATTAAAGCTTTCATAAACAGAAGATAAGTTATATAAAAAGGATTCAATTGACATCTCAAATGCACATGTTACAAGTTGTTTATCATAGAATGGTTTAATGTGATTGATTAAGAGATAAGAAAAATTATTCAGATTTTTAATTTTTCTGAAAGATGTCGCTTCAGTAGCCCATGGATATTGAATGAAATATGCCAGGGGTCCAATGGCATTGTGTTGACTGACAGCACCCCTGGTATTGCAAGGATGATATGATGGAAATTCCCACTTCAAATGAGATTCAACAATTTGTGAAGAGAGTCAGAATTGAAGATGTAGCTTCTTAAAAACAAGTACTCGTTAATAAAATTTTATTTCATTTATCTAGAATCTAAATGAATTACCTGACATGTGTGACTTGATTGTGTCCAAGCATTCACATTTACTGAATTTTCTTGCACTACCAAATGCTGTCTCCCCATCCTGAAAATAAAATATCATTCATCACTACACTTGTTTTAAGAGATAAACATAATACAGTAGTGGTGTAATTATTGACTAACAAGAAATCTGTGAGCCAATGCTCACTAGGAATACCCCCGTTCTGATGCAATTAACACTATCATGTTAATATACACAAGTTCAATTACGGACAGATGCACCGAAAAATATGAAATTGACATCAGATTCATATCAAAACTAGTGCTAATTGTATTTTATTATATTCCATGTAAGCTTTATTAAATAAGACAAACTCTATGCATTTGAGATTTTAACAATGTTTTCCCAGAAGTGTACCAAATTCATTCAAATTTTAGCATTGCACGCGTGTGCATGTGGATGCATGTGCGTAATGACCATATCATCTTGTCTACACAATCTATATATTTTTATATACTAAATATTAAAGTATTTAATCCAAAAGTGTTAAAAAATACGCTTATTCAGGTGTATTTTTGATTTTACCCATTTCACGTGCACGCACATGCATACATGAGTATGGTGACCATACCTTCTTGAAGAAGTCCATAACATCTATCTATGCTCTCAATCCCACCCCAGTTGAAAACCAAGGGAGTTATAGCTTTTTAAAGTTTAAGCCAATCAGATTGCAGCGCACGTACACGCACTTGTATGCATGTGCATGTTGACCATACCTACTTGTAGAAATCCATTATTTCTATCTATGTTCCAAATCCCATCCTGTTTGGTTGAAAACCAAGGGAGTTATAGCTATTTAAAGTTTAAGCCAATCAGATTGCAGCGCACGTGCATGCACGTGTTTTCATGATAATTGCTATATATCTTGCTGTAGCAGTCTTCGCCAAATTTTTTTTTCAGCACATGCCCTTCGGGCAGGTGTGATCCCCAATTACGCAAGCCCGAACAAATATTTACATGCCCAGAATTTTATCAATTTTAAAGTTATAATATTATTCTTATTTGCCTATTCATGCCAAGGAAATGACCTGAATCCATTTGTCTCGCCATATGTTTTCAACCTGTACACTTTTTGTGTCTCCTCTGCAGAAGAGTTCCTTGAAAATCGCGGTAAAATAAGATTTCGATTAAATTTTATTTTGAACTTTACTTTAGATGGAAAATAAAAGACTTTAAAGTACATTTAATGTTATTGGTATTATTTAATTTAATTATACCACGGTTTATGCCTTAGAATTTACATGCCCTTCGGGCTTGTAAGTGTGCAACTTCCACATGCCCGCTACCAATTCTACCAGGTCCCGGGCATCGGACTCCCGGGATTTGTCGAAGACTGCTGTAGGATATCCTAATGCTTGGCTATGTTCAAAATTTCAAAGGATTTTGTCAAAAAATAAGAAAGATATTGAGACTTTAGTTTCAGCCAATCAGAGCGAAGCGCACGTGCATGCGCGTGGGATCTTGCTATTTTGACCATGTCATATTGTCTATGCTACTAATATATCCTTATATTATGAGTTTCAAAGCATTTCATTAAAAATGTAAAAAGTTACGCCTATATCAATTAAATCGGTCATTTCACGTGTTGCACGTGCACGCTCTTGCAAGCACGTGTGCGCAAAATGACCTTCGTTCCGCAAATCTACATAACATGCCTACTGACCCTAAAAAGGTTTTACCTACATCGGATGAACAGTTTACAAGATCACTCCCGGACAAAAAAGTACCCAGGAAGAAGAAGAAGAAAAATAATAATAACTAGATGAAACTCGTTGCGAGCAACGAGAGGTCTTCCGTCCGATTCCGGAAAGAAAACGTAAAATCGTGAAGAAAATGTAAAAAAAAAGATTTGCACACAAGGGGATTAAACCCACGTCACCAGCACAAAAATCCAACATACTAAATATTACACTATCGGGACATCTACACTAAATCTACTTGTACATATTTACGAATCAGTGCCTCTCTCTTAAAAGTATGAAAGGTGGGTCACTATTCAAAATTTAGCGCCAAACGCCAGGAGTAAATCTTCGCGCCTTTTCTCTGAAATGTTCTATTAAGTAGGTGTGATAGCTTCAACGAAATTAAAAAAAACGTTCTTATAGCCTTTGATTCTAGGTTTAGAAAGTATATTTAACACATTTTACAAATTCATTTTGTATATATGCATGTAACACTAAAGCGGTGAAACTGTTATTAATTTTTAACTTTTTTCAATTTCCTATTTATCCCCCATTGAACTATCCCGAATAGTAATCAAAAGAGGTCGGTGTTTTGCCGAAAACATGGCTCACTCTACGACGGTCAAGGAATCAGATATCATTTATGCTCAATAACTTGAAACAGGTCTTTAAGACAGAATTCTAAAATAAACTCATCAAGAGATCTTTAAAAAATTTTTCTTCTTTCTGTCTTATTTAGTAGTTTAATATGACACAAGTGTGCATAGGAAAAAACAGTGGTTAAGATTTAAACTTTCCATATTAATTGATATTCTTTTTTGAGAAAGTATTACTTATAAGTATGATTTAAGATCTGTTTCCACATTTAGTCTTTTCTTCTTCTTTGAAAACCAGCCAAATCCAATTATAGAAGACGTTAGTTTGACACAGAACTGCAACGAAACTACGACGTGACGATCCATGTATTCCTTTACATTTCATTTATCCTTATGTTACTTTCGTTCAAGCAAACGCTCGACTGCCTCCGTAAACCCCTATTGCGAAATGTCGGCGTTGACAGAGACAGCCGCCATTTTGGACCCGCTTCAGATTTTTGAATGCTTATATCTAGAGTTTAGATTTATCAACATTCAAACAAATTATATAGTAAGCATCATAAGGAGGACTTCTATCAACATACCAAAAATAAATGAAAAATACTGAAAAACAAAAAAAGTTAGAAAATACGAATTTTTGAATTTGCATCTCGTAACAACCGGAAGTACTGACGACGCACGAGAAGGTGATTCTGCAAACCACAAAGTGACAAACTATCGTCTCCAATAAGTCTCCAAGTCATATCTTTAGCCATTTTCGAGAAAAAGGGGCGACAAAATTGCATTTTAAAATCAGGAAATCGTCTATAACTTGGCACCAGAAGAGAATTTTCCAAATTTCTCTTCGGATGTAACAACTTCATATAATGGCACATATTTTGTGAAAGTTTCATGAAAAACCGCTCAATAGTTGTGCCTGCACAAAATTTTGTCAAAAAAAAAGAATAATAATAATAATAATAATAAGAATAATAATAAGAAACAGTAGAATCACTATAAGGTCTTCCGTGAAGACGGAAGACCTTAACTAGATGCGTTCTTGTTGCTAGAGCAACAAGTGGTCTTCCGACCGACTTTTTGTTAGAGTTCTATGCTATGTCTTCCCATGAAATAGATTTCAGAATGTATTTTTTGTTTATGTTAATTCACAGCAGTATCTCAACATACATCATGATAATCACAGGTATGCCTCAAATATCTCAGAAAATAGCTTTTAAAAATCGGTAAAATATTCCAAAGTGTTATAAAAGAGATAAAAGTCATTTGAAAGTGAAAAAAGACATAAACAAAGAAAAAAAATTTGAAACGCCTCCAAGAAATAGTGGGACAAAGTTTAGTTCGGTCATATCTTTTCAATATATGCACTCATCAAGATACTGAACACAAATTTAGAATTCTCATGAGACACACTATAAACCCTGTAAATCCTAAAGAAAAATATTGAAAAACAAAAAAGTTGAGAAATGGGACTTTTTGAATACTTCCGTTTGCGACCGGAAGTGCCGACGACGAAAAATAAAGGTCGTTGGCCATAACGGAGTTCGATGATCTATCACCTCAGTGAGTTTCACTTTCTTATCTTTAGCCGTTCTCGAGAAAACTGCTGGACAAAATGCCTTTTAAAAAATACAAAAATCGCGAACGAAAGTAAATTTTGAAAAAATGAAAAACACCTCTGGAGATATTATCATGATGCATCATCCCTGTAAAAATCTTTCAAATTCGTCCACGCACAGCTGAGATATCACCCTAACTATGAAAAAGAAAAATAATAATAATAAAAAACAGACGAATAATATGAAGGAAGTCGGAAGACCTTAATAATAAGAAACAGAGTAAAAACAATATGTTCCCCAACTTCGTTTGGGGAACATAACAAGAGATGTTTGTAAAACACTTATGCCCCCCTCCCCCACAGTTGGAATTTTTCCAAGTCCAAAAGGGCATAGCTCTGTCAAAAATGGCGCGATTGTACATGTACCCAAAACAGAACTTGACCAAGATAGTCATCTGATAAATCTGTATACCAAATTTCATTTTAGTATGTGCAACCTCTGCAAAGAAAATGTAAGGAAACTGCAAATAACTGGAATTTTTTTTTCTAAGTTCAAGGGGCATAACACTTTCAAAAATGGTGCAATGGTACCCAAAACAGAATTTAATCTAGATATTCAACTGATAAATCTGTATACTAAATTTCATCTCAGTATGTGCAATGGTTGTGAAGAATATGAATGAAAACTTCAAATAATTGGAATTTTTCTAAGTCAAGGGGCATAACTCTGTCAAAAATGGTGCGATCAATCCAAAATAAAACTTGAGACATTCTTCTGAAAATCTGTATACTAAATTTCATCTCAGTATGTGCAATGGTTGCAAAGGAAATGAATTGCAAATAATCAAAATTTTTCTAAGTTCATGGGGCATAACTCTGTCAAAAATGGTGCGATTGTACCCAAAACAGAACTTGACCAAGATATTTATGTGATATATCTGTATACCAAATTTCATTTCAGTATGTACAACGGTTATGAAGAAAATGAACGGAAACTGCAAATAATTGGAATTTTTCGAAGTCCATGGGGCATAACTCTCTCAAAAATGGTGCAATTGTACCCAAAACAAAACTTGACCTAGATATTTATTTGATATATATATATTATTATAACAAACTGTAGTTGATAAAAAACGAGACGCGAAGCGTCGAGTTTGATCTGATGATCCGCGCCTGTCAACGAGACGTGATACGGCTCTTTGGATCAAGTTACTGTTATAATGATAAATTTATTATATACCCCCTTATAACTGGCTGAAAATATTAAAATAAACCTTTAGAAATAAATTGGATAATATTAATCCATTACACAAAGCATAATAACTAGGGACTTTTTAACGAGCAAGAAAAATAACGTCATATTTCTGCGTACTTGCATTTCAGAGAGTGGTGATATGGATTCAGAAAACAACATGTTGGTGATCCGGAAATCGGATCACGACGTCACGTGATAGCGTAAATTCAACAGTAAAATTGGGTGATACACATTAGGTATATAATAAATCTGTATACCAAATTTTATATCAGTATGTACAGTGGTTGTGAAGAAAATGAACGGAAACCGCAAATAACTGGAATTTTTCGAAGTCCAAGGGGCATTACTCTGTCAAAAATGGTGCGATCGTACCCATAACAGAACTTGACCTAGATATTCATGTGATATATCTGTATAACAAATTTCATTTCAGTATGTGCAACGGTTGTGAAGAAAATGAACGGAAACTAAGTGGACCGACAGACCAACCGACAGACTGCAGCAAAGCAATATGCCCTCCCTTCTTCGAAGGGGGGCATAATTAATCTCACAATATGGGCATAATGGCATGCCTCAACAAAGAGTGTACTTAAATTTCAAGCATCTGCAATGAGTAGTTGATAAGAAAACTGTGTCAAAAAATTTGTTATGTATGAAACGGACAGACGCACAGACAAACAGGAAGTTGACATTGGATTTGACTAAAAATGTATCCCACTGTATGGCACGCTTCAGAGAAGATTGTGTTAAAATTTCAAGCATCTGCAATGAGTAGTTGGTAAGAAAACTGCGATGAAAAATTTGTTATGTATGAAACCATCAGACGCAAAGACAAACAGGAAGTAGACATTGGATTTGACCAAAAATGTTTTCCACCGTATGGCATGCCAAGAGATGATTGTGTTAAAATTTCAAGCATCTGCATTGAGTACAGGAGTTGCTGAGAAAACTGGGACGAAAAATTTGTTTTGTATAAAACAGACAAACGCACGGACAAACAAGAAGTTGACATCAGATTTGACCAAAAATGTAGCCTACCATATGGCATGCCTCAGAGATGATTGTATAAAAATTTCAAGCATCTGCAATGAGTAGTTGCTGAGAAAACTGCGACGAAAAATTTATTACGGACGGACAGACAGATAGACGGACAACTAGAGGGAAGGACAGACAGACACACAATGGTAAAAACGGAATACCCCCCTCTCCTCTGGAGCGGGGGTATAACAATTAAGTCATTTTATATTTACTTGTTGCTACTGATATTATACTATTGACTATTTAAAAGATCATGATGATTATTTGAAGATCACAAAGCTAACCTCAACAAGGTTAAATATTAGTAAGACACTTTCATGTTTTAGTGAAATCCAAAATAGTCGCATATAGTTCATCATTAAGGTCATTTGTAGAAGCATTTTAAGGATACACCAAAGGTTTCCAGGGGCAAAATTTAATTTGTTTGTAATTCTTTCATTAACAAAGATAACATATTAAAAGTATATATCACTGGAAAGCTTGTTAAATTTACTATTTAATGATCTTAATTTAAATTTTCATTTTTATCTTATTAAAACATTATTCATATTTTAATGTAAATATTAGTGCATTTATATTTTAGAAATCAACTTTTTTGTATTCCACCTCTCAAAGTCAAAATTTTGCCTCAATATAGCTTAAAGATTGAACTTTAAAACCATATCTGTTCAGATTTTTGATAAATCTCCTTATTCAAAAGTTACATCCATTTGTCTTTCAATGTTACCAATTTATTAGCCCAATTCTACATTTCCCCCAATAATTCAAGAACAGAGCAAGATATCGAAAATCTGAGATACGGTTTTGTGAACACACATTTGAGACACATTCTGGCCAGTTTTCAGAGAAATTGGTCAATAAATAAGGGAGCTGAATCCTTTGAAATAATACCACCAACTGTCTGATCTTACTTTACAGTAGAGGACAAAAACCCATTACACAACAAAGTCTGCCAAAGCTAGAAATATATGACACCTTGGAGATTCAGCTTTGGATACCTGTCACTTATCCATATTTCCTATGCATATTCACAAGTATGGGAGGTTCTAATTTAGGTGCTTTTAATGAAGTAAATTAGGTTCAATTCTGAATCAGAAAGATTTCCCGGCAAAATGGCAAAGCTAAGCTCCACCTCCTATTTCATGGTCATTAGTGACCTGTTAGATCTCCTTCCCTAAATCTAGAGTCCCTGTAAATTACTTAGCCTCTGTGTGGCTAGTGAAGAATTCCCCAAGTGGTCACAGTGATTTATTGCATCTTTCAGAAGCAGGCAGTTACAGACCAAATCAGAAGCTTCGTTCACATGTGTTAGTGTTTATGTTTGATTATTGTTAAATAATTAGAAAACCATTTAATAATCGGCATGGATTTTTCATGCATTATAAAGCAGTGATTAGCATTGTTTTCTTAGCCAAAAATCTCAAAATTGACAAAAATTTGGAAAAAAGCCTTTGGTGTATCCTTAAGGTAGGATTCTTCTCTGGTTTCTGACTATATGAAACATTCAAAGTATATTTGCTTATATGTCTTATATATTGAGGTGTAAGGAATTTAAAAGACCCTATTTTTCTTTCCTCATCACAATTGTTCAACTTTAAATAGAAATGGTAAACTGCGTTTGAAAACTAGCAGGGACTATATTTTTGGCGGAATGGTGGCGTATGAAAATATCTTCTTTTCGGCCTCTCAAAATTATAATAAAACAATGAATTTTGTTATAATTTTTACACAATCGAAGACTTGGAGAAATTTTCAAATGTAAGTAAGATTAATAGTGAGGGACACAGATTTTTCAAACAAACTAGAACTTTATTAACTTTTAAACGCTTCCTATCAAAGTGCAGATTTGAGCCAAAAATCCATAAAAAGTATTTTTTCTCTCTTAGTATCTTTTTGTTTTTGCATCATTTTGTACATTTATAAGACTACTTTATTATATGTGAAAATAAGAAAAAGTTAAATATAGGAAGCATATGAAAATAACTATTATATCCTAAAAAATTAAGAAAAGCAGAGAAAATTATTAGCCAATATCCAGATAAGTGAAATTAATGCAACTAAAGTTTTTATGAAATAACAATCATTATTTTGTGAGGATCACATATTTTATTTTTTTTAATGTCAAGGAAAAAGATAATTTGACCTGACCTTGCCGTTATAAAACGGTCAGATACTATCAATTACTGATATTGTCTTCTTGATTATGTGAAAATTTCATTAATTTTTAAATATTAGAAATATGAGAAGAATCCACCTTAAGCAAAATGTAGAAATTAGTTACATACAAAACTACGATCAGAACAGCTATTTTATTCTTTTAACATATAAAAGAAAAGGGACTAAATTTTTCTTCTATAAAATCAAGAAATTTTACCTCATCTTTAAGAAAAGGATCCCGCCATGTTGTAGTAGATTTCCCCCACATACATGCAAACACAACAAATTTACATTGTTTCACATCAGATTATACAGCAATTTACATATGCATGTATACATCTTAAAGCACTACATGTTATCATAGAATTACAGTTAACAAAATTTTGTTTTTTTTTTTTAATTTTCTTTCCTTCATGTCCACTTCAAAATGTAAAACGTTACATACAAAACTACTCAATAATTCTTCATCTTCAAATCCAAGAAACCAAGAGATTTTCCTCTCAAACCACAAAAATTTGACTTGACAAATATGTGATTTTACAGTATTCTTTCCTGATAAAGCAATTTTAAATGACTGACATTATACCTGACATTAGGATTGCCTTTATAATCTAGCAGTAACTGTGTTGCAGAATCACTGAGTCCTGCAGCTATGTGCATAGGTGCTACCCCCTCGACTTGTAGGATTTCATTTGGATCTGCTCCCTGCTTCAACAGCTGCTCAGACAATCTACAAATAAAACCACCAATCAAAATATGCATCTCTACCAACTCGATCATCTTTGCTCCTGACCTCTATAAATGACAGATTACTGTATTGCAATTTTTAAAATATAATTCTCTCACTGAATTGAACCAAAAAGAGTTGCTTCTAGCCACAATAAACACACATAAAATACAATACAAACCCTCAAGGAAACCCTATAACCAGGAAAATGTCCACTTTGTGTACAGACTAAAATAAAATAGATTCTTTATCAGGAAATAAAATTTGTTGCCCTATTTATACTCCTGTTATTTGCTTTACACTCAATTGAGAAAATATTTTTTTAGTACATCATGGAGCTTTGTGTGCCTATATGAATTCAAGAAATCAGAGAATTTCTATTACCAGGAAAATAGAATGTAAATTTCTCAATACAGTAACTGTAAAACATTCTCAGATGTTGACCCTTTAAATAATATTTAAAACTTAATTTTTTGATTGGTTTTCTCAAGTATATTTAAAGGTGCATTGACACAGATTTGAAGTTAAAATAAAATAGATAATGCTGTAAACCAGCTGTTTGCCATGTCATCTTTTATTTGCATTTCATCAGTTAATCATCAATCCCAGACAACTATTTTTGCTGCTGAGAAATTATTCTTTACAAATACATTGCAAATTAAAGGGTTCGCGGTGATTAATATTCTAGAAGTAGGTTTCAAAACTAAAAAAAAAGTTGGAACAAAATGTCC